TCCTATTTTGATAGGGAGAATGCAGAAATAAAATCACTGGCAGCGCTGTGTTTGTAAAGGCCGTGCTCCGCCTTCGTCAAGAGCTTTCTGGCCCTCCAAATTGGGATACGGCTTCTAGGAATTCCTTGGGTTGTCTCACAGGGAAGACTTTGTTGTTAGAAATAATGTATTTATTTTTTTTTAGGGGAAAAAAAAAGCACCGGGGCAAAAGCATCTCAAAGGAATGGCAGAGGCTAAAAATAGACACATTATCATCACTTTCATTATCAGCCATGTCCACACACACAAGAAGTATAACTGAGAGCAACTTCAGGATGAGGTGTTTTCCCCTCCAGGTTAGTTTTAGGTTGCGGGGGAGCACGTTTGTGCTTGGCTGAGCAGCGGAGCGTCACAGAGAGGGGATGGCACAGATATGAATTTAATTGTAGCAACCCCCCCCCCCTCGCGCTTAAACAAAGCCATCTAAAATTCTTATCAGCAGGCCGACTCATGAGAAGTTGTAACTCCCCAAAGCAAATGCTTAGCCTATTCAAAGTTTCAAAAATGGCCTGATAAAGGCCACTCGTCTAAAGATTTCAGAAGGTCAGATAAAACTTGGTGTGGCCACGAAACGGCAGAAGGCAACCGAGCCCTCCGCCATATTTACGACGAGTACTTAAGTTTAAAAAGCAAGCCCCAAACTCTTACAAAAACTCAGTGTTTAGGTGCGTTATTTTATTTGCAAGCACCACCGCCTGAGCTTGAAGCCCAGCTTTTATGGCAGGTGACATTCCTGCCACCTTCCTCGTACGGGACTGTTGCGGACCACCGGGAAAAAGCGGGGAGATCCGCTCCTCCCCAAAACCACCCTCGCCAACCCCGCTGCCGGGTCACCCACGACGCCAGGCGAAGGTCCCATCCCGGGACGCTGGCCGGCCCGAAGGGGATCGGGGCCGAGCGCTCCCGTTCGGCCCACGTCCGGGTTCGCCCCGTGGCCAAGGTTCGCCCCACAGCCGGGGTTCACCCCACTGCTGCCGCCCTCAGCCAGGGCTACGGGGTGAGCCCGGCATCCCCGAAAGCAGCTCGGGGGGGCGGCT